AAATTATATGAAGCTGATTGCGAGTTTTGGAAAAAAAACGAAGAAACTGTAGCATTTTTTCGATCACATGGTGTTTTTCCAACCTCAGGTAAGTGTACTAAGAGCAAGACAATGTAAATATCGCAAAGACCAACATGTGTGGCGTTGGGTAAGAATCTCAGAATCCAACAGCGAAGAAAAACCTGGCCAATAAGGTAAGAAATAGGTGATTCCATCATATGGTGAGAGTCAGTTAGGTTAGGTTAAGTTAGGTTTGTTTTTTGTTTTTCTCGTGTTTTTTTTGGGGGGGGTATTTTGCCATGATTTTTTTTTTCGGAAAAAGTCCAACTAAAAAAAATCGATAAAAAAAACCCGGTTAATTTCCGCCATAAATGAAGGTCATATTCAGTCTAAACAAATACACTGTAAAAATATATTTTTGACTTTCAAACAGAGAACGGTGTAAATTTACCCATTATTTCATTACTGTGCTACAAACTACGTCTCTTACGGGAACATAAACAAACCAATTTTAACTCTATCGGGAATCACCATTTAATGAAGTTTTTGTTTAATATAACTTAAGTCTGTAAAACACAACTGGCAGGTCTAAGGCAACATTTAATTGGTCTAGGAAGGTGTTATAATGACCTCATCACATGGAACTGTTAAATAATGTAAAACAAAACAGTTACTTGGCTTAAGAGACACAAATATTTAGGCCATGAGAGCTGCTCCTACCTTGTGAGGCAGCGGCAGTCAAGAGAATAAAACACAGTGTCCACTATATAACACAGTGACCAGTTTTAATAATAGTTTTATAGGACCACGGCCATACATAATGTTAACTTACCACGAGGGGGGGAGGAAGGCCCACAAATTAACATCTACTCACAAAATTAACAAAAATAAACAAGATGGCCACGTCGGTTGATGTTGACCTGCTACACCTATCGAGTGGGTGATGCTCTTATTGTTGTTACTGTTGTTGTTGTTGTTGCTCTTAATATTGTTATTATTATTGTTGATGTTGTTGCTGTTGCTGTTGTTGTTGATGTTGTTGTTGCTCTTAATATTGTTATTATTATTGTTGATGGTGTTGTTGTTGTTGTTGTTGTTGCTGTTATTGTTGTTGTTGTTGTTGTTGTTGTTGTTGTTGTTGTTGTTATTGTTGTTGTTGCTCTTAATGTTGTTATTATTATATTTGAAGTTGTTATTATTGTTTTTGTTGTTGTTATTATTATTGTTGTTGATATTGTTGTTGTTGCTCTTAATATTGTTATTATTATTGTTGATGTTGTTGTTTTTGTTATTGTTGTTGTTACATTATTGTTGTTGTAGAGTACAGTGAAGTGAGAGAACAATAAAGGGAGAATATAACTGAGGGAACAAAAGTCTAAGGAGAACAGCAGCAGGAGAGAAGTAGTAGCAGTACATCAAGTGTGAAGAACACCTGGCGAACAAGAATGGCTATAAAACACGAAGGAAGAACACTAACAGAATAACAGCAGCGAGCGATATTTGCGGAAGTGATGAACATGAGTGAGAAAACGGACATAAAAAAATAAAAAATCTCAATAATAACAGAGAATGAAAAACAAAACAAAAATGTAGATGAGGAAAAAATAAACAATAGTTTATTGGATATTTAGTAACAAGAATTGTGATAAACAAGAACTGAATGACAACACCGCAAGAGAGGAAAACTGGGTAACAAAAAAGTGAACGCCGCATAACCGTGAAAATGTAAACAACAAAATAAAAAGTTACGGAGGCAGATGAATCTGAGCCTTGAAGGCGCAGTCGCTCTCCACCCTCAAGAGGAGGTCAAGGATACGCAAACACGAAAATAATCAAGAGATCCAAATGAAATAGCGAGGCTAAATATACCAACAGCGAAAAGCCACACAACAAGACTAGGTTTTTGCCCTTTGATCAGAGATTAAGTACAGCAAGGGAAAAATTATATAGCATGCATAAAGGACGATAATGTAAAAAGAAACGATAGACAAAAATCATAAATCGATGAATAGAATAAAAATTTAGCTGATAGAAACGAGAGAACCAGATAAGAAGCATAAAATACAAATTAAACAGACAGCCGCACACGTAAAAATTGCTAGGTGCATTAGGTGTATTGGACTGGTGGTAAGTGAGGGACATTGGTAGCAAAAGAGTGGTCATCTGTCTGGAAAGTTGCCCGGAGAAAAACAAAGGGAGGTAAGGGGTGTACCCTGCTCTCAAAACAAACGATGCACTCCTCCGCACACTGAATGATCCAACCTTTTACTCTTTCTAGTCTTTGTCCTTATGAAGAGAAAATGAGATTCTGCTTCAAGCATCCTCTGTCTGGCAAACATACGCTCGACTCCACCACCTCCTTTCAAGTATAAAAAAAAAAGAGTCTTCCATTCAACTCTTCCCGACAATAACATATGCTGTAGTTTGGGCCGCCTTTAGCAAGAGTCTAAAGTAGTATTTTTATACGCTGTGGTAACACTCACAACGTACCAACGAACTCTTTAAGAACGAGTTTTCAGCTGAGTTTTCTTGATATGGGAACAGATTATGGATTAAACTTTTTCTGTGAAAATAGTGTGCTATTATATCCTTCCTCCTTGCGCCAAAACAGAAACTTCTGTCCTCTTGTTAATTCCACAATCATATTAATTTCTTCCCTCCTTCTCAGGTACACAAACACCAGCATCTGGCAATAACAAAAACAATAATTTCCTTCCTCCCGAACAAAAATTAAAACAAACAAAAAATACAAATAATGTCACTCACTGTCTCTGATATAAACACAGTGACTAGCACCCTCACAGATACACACACAAACAGTAAATTTCACCGTCCCATGTACAAACACAAAACGTAAATCCCACTCTCCCAGGTGCAAACACAAGCAGTGACTCTCACCGTCCCATTTAAAAACACAAGCAGTGACTCTCACCGTCCCAGGTACAAACACAAGCAGTGACTCTCACCGTCCCAGGTATAAACACAAACAATAAATCTCTCTCTCCCAGGTACAAACACAGGCAGTGACTCTCACTCTCCGTAACAGGAACACATGAAGTACCTCTGCCCCCCGACAAGAACACAAACTTAAAATTCCCTCCACCTCTACCAAGCAATAAAATTTAACTCCCCCTTAACCAGTCATGCACGGCGGCTTCTCACTCGCTAGAGCGACCAGCGTTGCCTCATCAGCAGACACAAAACATATTATTCATTGCCGTGTAGAACTCGTTGTGGCTCATTATTCTTCATCTGGAAGTGGGTACCAAACACATGTAGTCCATTCCTGCCTCATGCTTTAAGTACCACCATCACTCTTAATTCTAATAGCTATAATGCAATACCATTTCTTACAACTTCCCCCCTTTCTCCGTCAACTTTTCTTCGCACATTGTTTCCTAACTTCATCCTATATAGTGTGCCTTACATACTAAAGCCAGTACGCACGTCTACCTATACGAGTCCACACTTGATGTGTAGCTATTCAACTTCAGCTCAAGGTTGAGGAAAATTTGCGATTTAGTTTGATGCAAAATGAATTATACCAAGTACGCACAGGTCTACACCCAGTGAGGCTGACGTAACTTGGGGAAGTTCTACGTTTTTGAGAAACAATATCTTCCTAATTTTCTTTCTAAAACTTCTTATAAGTCTGCCATTTCAGTTGGTGGTTCTGTAATTTCATATTTGAAAATAGTAGACAGCCTCAGGATCCTTGTCATCTCTAACCTATCTTGGAATCTCACAAAACTGAAATAGACAACAATTCAAATTCCTGCAGAAACAGTTTAAGTATTTCCTTCTGTCTTCAAAACTTGAGTTACTACTGATAATGAATATGATGCATTTCTCTGTGTACGAATCTCTGTCCTGCATGGCAGTGAACAGTGACATCACCCACATGAATCTGATCTATATATATATATATATATATATATATATATATATATATATATATATATATATATATATATATATATATATATATATATATATATATATATATATATATATATATATATATATATATATATATATATATATATATATATATACATATATATATATATATATATATATATATATATGAATATAATATATTTATATATGTATATATATATATATATATATATATATATATATATATATATATATATATATATATATATATATATATATATATATATATATATATATATATATATATATATATATATATATATATATATATATATATATATATATATATATATATATATATATATATAAATATATATATATGTAATAAGCAAACTGTACTCCAAGCTTTGTCAATAAATTTGTTAAATTAATAACTCTCTCTTCGCACAGTGTAGATTCCCAGTGCCCATTCCTTAGATATTACAATAGTTCGGTTGCTGGTCTTCCAAGAGGAAGCTGCCTCCCTCTCCTCCTGCTGCTACAGGACAGGCACTGTGACACTCAGTTACCGTGTAATGTTAGCATCTTGACGATGGGTCACTGGGAAGCCTCCCCCTTTCCCACTACAGCTATACTTTGGAACTCATAATCTTCTCACGTCTCTCCAGCTAAATTCCTCTCTTTAAAAAGTAAATATTTCACAAACCTAAAAATGAAAACCAAATTAAGACAATTGTCATTCTTTTCCCTTCCATATTCTGGCCTCTTTTGGAGCGTTTGTCATGGTTAAAGACCTGTTTGCTAAAACAAAGTCACCTTAACACCTACACACCCCCACCTTAACCCCTTCACACCTCCACTTTAACCCCATCACACCTCCCTAACCACAACACACCTCCACCCTGACCACTCCCACCCTTGTCAGGCCACACCTGTTACCTAACCATATCTTAATTCCACCCCAACCAATCCACACCTATCCCTTCACCAGTCACCACCTCACCCAGAACCAGAACTCCCCGAGTCCCTGGTCAATTCAAGCTTATTTATTAAACAATATATAACCAGTTCTTAGCTAGTCCACACCAAACCCACAACCAATGCACACTTCACCCACAACCAATTCACACTTCACCCACAACCAATCCACACTTCACCCACAACCAATCCACACTTCACCCACAACCAAGTCACAACTTACCCACAACCAGTCCACACTTCAACCACAACTAGTCCATACTTCAACCACAACCAGTCTAGACTCTAGCCATAACCAGACCACACTCTACCCACAACCAGTCCACACTTCACCCACAACCAGTCCACACTTTACTCACAACCAGTCCACACTTCAACCACAACTAGCCCACACTTCACCCACAACAAATCCACACTTCACCCACAACCAGTCCACATCCCATCCACAACCAGTCCACATTCCACCCACAACCAGTCCACACTTTAACCACAGCCAGTCCACACTTCACCCACAACCACACTTCATCCAAAACCAGTCCACGCCTCACCCATAACCAGTGCACCCCTCTAGCATCATTCCACTTTGTAGCCCAGCTCACAAGGTCTACTTCACTGAAGATGTGTGTCAGTGATGAACCTGTCTATCTCCTTCCCAGGCAGTTTCCCAGCATCACCTCGGGAGTCCCATTCAACTTGTGTGGATCCATCAGTCACACGCACCACAGCTCCAGACCGCTCATTTGTCAGATATCCAGTTCGAGAGAGCGAATAGCCCCACCCCCCCCTCCCCCCGCCTCCCTTCTCTTCCTTCCCTCGGTCGGGTGGGAGGGAGAGAAAAGTCTTGTATGGTCTTGGGTCAGTCAAAGCTCACCTGATCTCCCTCCTTCAATGAATGCTCCGATTCTCATGTTAGAGCAGGCGGTGGGTTTCTCTTCCTGTTCTGTGTATTCATTCCATGGCCAGTTTTATAGTCGTACCTGTTTTCAACTGTGAGATTTTGAAGTAGGTTTTATTTATCGAAGTTAAGGGGAAAAGTGATGAGATTTTTTGTGGCAGAGGTTTGTTCAGTTAAAGTTTTTTATTATCTTGTGTATGTGTGTGTGTGTGTGTGTGTGTGTGTGTGTGTGTGTGTGTGTGTGTGTGTGTGTGTGTGTGTGTGTGTGTGTGTGTGTGTGTGTGTCTTTTATTGTATTTTCATTTAATGACAAAAGATGAAATGTGTTTCTCAATATTTAATTTTATCAATTTCCCTCCGTTATTCCTTTTATTAGATATCATTGCATGAAACCCTCGAATTTTAATAGCATTATTATTCATGAAATATGTCATCCTGTAAGGAAATGAAGAAAAAAAAAATAATATCTTGGTGATCATAACCTTTCATTTAATACTTTCTCTGTGGTGTCGTTCCCAGAACATAAGACAAAGTAACCAGCTGCCATTATATTGATATCTAATTCATCCCTGTAATTCTGTTGGTGTCAATGTTGGTGATGGTGAAGGTGTTGATAATGGTGTTGATGTCAGAGTTGTTGGAGTTGATGTTGGGAGTTTTACTGTTGGTGTTGGTGATGTTGGGACGTTGTTATTGTTGGTGTTGATGTTGGGGGTTTTATTGTTGGTGTTGGTGTTGATGTTGGGGGTTTTTATTGTTGGTGTTGGTGTTGATATTGGGGTTTTTATTGTTGGTGATGGTGTTGATATGGGGTTTTTTATTGTTGGTGTTGGTGTTGATATGGGAGTTTTTATTGTTGGTGTTGGTGTTGATGTGGGGGTTTTATTGTTGGTGTTGGTGTTGATATGGGGGTTTTATTGTTGGTGTTGGTGTTGGTGTTGATGTGGGGGGTTTTATTGTTGGTGTTGGTGTTGATGTGGGTTTTTATTGTTGGTGTTGGTGTTGATGTGGGGGTTTTATTGTTGGTGTTGGTGTTGATATGGGGTTTTTTATTGTTGGTGTTGGTGTTGATATGGGAGTTTTTATTGTTGGTGTTGGTGTTGATGTGGGGGTTTTATTGTTGGTGTTGGTGTTGATATGGGGGTTTTATTGTTGGTGTTGGTGTTGGTGTTGATGTGGGGGGTTTTATTGTTGGTGTTGGTGTTGATGTGGGTTTTTTTATTGTTGGTGTTGGTGTTGATATGGGGTTTTTTATTGTTGGTGTTGGTGTTGATGTGGGGATTTTTATTGTTGGTGTTGGTGTTGATGTGGGGGTTTTTAATGTTGGTGTTGATATTGTTGTGGGGGGTTTTATTGTTGGTGTTGTTGATATTGGTGGATGACCAAAAAATTTAAACATGACATGGGAATAAAGAAAGTAATTTATAAGAAATTTTAGGCAGGGGAGGAGCATCTCAGAGATAGGTATAACGAACTATCTAGGAATGTTAAGGAAAATTGTACGGAAGGCAAATAGGGACTACGAAATCAGGATAGCAAGAGAATCGAAGGCGAATCCCAAAGGGATTTTGCCAGGTAAATAGGACAAAGGTCAAGGACAAAGTGGGGACTTTAAAGTCAGAGAGAGGGGAAGTGATAGATGACAGTGAGGAAATGAGCAAAGCATTAAACAGCTACTTCTTATCAGTTTTCACAGAAGAAATTCACGAGGAAACGCCAGCGGTGGAACTGATATTTAGGGGAATGAAGAAAAGAAACTAAAAGATATCACTATCAGAAAAGAGGATGTTCTTAAGAAGATAAATAAATTCAAGGAGACATAATCCTCAGACCAGATGAAATTTTCCATCGCGTTTTGAAAGAGTGTAAGGAACAGATTAGCGGACCCCTCGGAAATTTATTTACACAATCATTAGACACGGGAGTTGTGACAGACTTTAGCAGACAGGCAAATGTAGAATCCATATTCAAAAAGAGAGACAGAGCATCAGCGTTAAATTACCGGCCGGGCAATTTGACGTCAGTAGTGGGGAAATTTCTTGGATCAATTATAGCAAATAGCATCCGATCGCATTCAGAGAAAAACAAATTAATCTACGAATCTCAACATGGATTTACAAAAGGAAAATCTTGTCTAACAAATCTACTGACGTTGGATAAAATCATGGCTCACCTATAGAACACAGAGGGTCAGCGTAGACCGTGTTAAATCTGAGTGGGGCTGTGTAACTAGTAGGGTTCCCCAGGGAATCAGTACTGGGCCCACTCTTGTTCATAATCTACATAAACGATTTAGATACTGGGATCAGCAGTGACATAAGCAAGTTTACAGATGACACCAAAATAGGGAGGCAGATAAATTCAGGGCAGGATGCAAATGCACTAGAGGAGGATTTAAATATACTGCAGGAGTGGTCAGAAAAATGGCAAATGAAATTCAACACCAGCCAATGCAGCGTGCTGTCTATACGGCATACAGACTTAACAACATCAAACTAGAGAAGTCGACTTGTGAAAGAGATTTAGGGGTACTCATAAGCCCGGACCTTCGGCCTAGAAAAAAGTACGTTAATGTTCGAAATAAGGCAAACAGAGTATTAGGTTTTATATCTAGAAGTGTAAGTAAGAAGAGTGCTGAGGTCATATTGCAAATATATCTTGCGCTAGTTAGGCCGCACCCCCGATTATGCTGTTCAGTTTTGGTGCCCTTATTATAGAATGGATATCAAATCACTTGAGTCGTTGCAGCGAAGAATGACGAAAATGATTTCGGGACTTAGATACCCTCCCTTTCAAGATAGATTAAAGAAACTAAGCTTGCATTCCGTAGAAAGACGTAAAGTGTGGGGAGATATGATATAAGTATTTAAGTGGGTGAAAGGAAATATAGCTAGAGTTCTTATAATATCCAAGCAGGATAGGACTCGTAGCAAAGGATTTAAGTTGGATAAGTTTAGTTTAGGAGGGAGCTAAGAAGAAATTGGCTCACAAATAGGGTGGGAGTTGAGTGGGACCAGCTTATCAACTTTGTAGTAAGTGCTGGGACACTGGAAAGTTTTAAAAGGAGGCTAGATAAATTCTTTGACGATAGATAGAGGTTGTAACTCTCGACAGGAACTGCCACGCACAGGCCAACCGGCCTATTGCAGACTCCTAATTTTCTTATGGTCTTATGGTGTTGATGCTGGGGGTTGTACTGTTGGTGTCCTTGTTGATGTTAGGGTTTTTATTGTTGGTGTTGATGTTGGGGTTATTACTGTTGATGTTAGTGATGATGTCGGAGTTTTATTGTTGGTGTTGTTGATGTTGGGGGTTTTATTGTTGGTATTAGTGTTTATGAAGAAGTGTTTACTGTTGGTGTTGATGTTGGGGGTTTTATGCTGGTGTTGTTGTTGATGTTGGGGGTTTTATTGTCGGTGTTGATGATGATGTCGGGGGTTTTATTGTTGGTGTTGATGTGAGTGGTTGTACTTATATTTTTTATTTGTTTATTGTATTTATTTATTTACTAATTTATTTATTTATTTATGTATTTATTTATTTATTTTATTTTTTTACGGGAATCAGCCCACCCGAGCACAGGTTGAACGACCCACAACGTGGCTTAGGGGGCGAAAACATAAAAATAAATAAATTTGATTTTGGGACGTTGTTATCGTTGGTGTTGATGTTGGGGGTTTTATTGTTGGTGTTGGTGTTGATGTTGGTGGTTTTACTTATTGATTTATTTTTTTTTTTTTTTTTTTTTACGGGAATTAGCCCACCCGGGCACAGGTTGAACGACCCACAACAGGGTCTAGGAGGCGAAAACATAAAAATAAATAAATATAAATATTAAAAAAAAAAGGTTATATTAACCTACACCACGAAGATGCCGGAAAACCAGCTTTTTGAGTGAGACAGATTGTATTAGTATGGAAACACATAAGAAGGCAGAGCATTCCACATTTTGTCTGTGTGAGGAAAGAAGGATGCACTATAGCGGGCACTTCGGGCAAGACCAGTGTTACCAGCCAACGGCCTTGCTGGCGGTACACAGAATGCCAAATCCACCGAACATTCTCCGTTAAAGTACCTGTAAACGAGAGAGAGTGAAGCAACATTGCTGCGAAGAGAAAGGGAACAGAGATTGTCGACTAAAGGAGGAGAGTTAATAAGACGAAAGGCCTTTGATTCCAGCCTATCTAACAGTTGGACAGAAGAAGAGCCACCTCAGATATGAGAGCAATACTCCAAGTTAGGACGAATGAATCCCTTATGTACTTGAAGCAACTGCTCAGGAGTGAAATAGCTATGGAATCTGTATAGCATTCCCAACTTTCGGGAGGTAGCTTTAGCAATGCTAACGATGTGTGACTTCCATGACATATAAAAGGAAATGGTGAGGCCTAGCATATGTATTTCAGAATTTGGCAGAATGATAGCGTCCTGAAATGTAATTGGTGGGAGATTATCTAATTTAGTAAGTGTAAATGGTAAATGCTGAGTTTTATTACTATTCAATTTAACCAAGTTTCTGCCTCCCCATTCGGAGATGTTGCACAGATCCGCATTGATTGATGTAATAATATCAACTCTAGAAACAGGTCTAGTTTGAGAGTTAGGTGGAAGGGGAAAATGTGAAGAAGAGTGAAGAGTAGAATCATCAGCGTAAGAATG